CTTCATGAAAAAGTAAATCAAAAATGTTAATAGCAAAATTCGGATCATGAATTGCGAAATAGGCAAGCCTCTATTTTTACGATCCGTAATGCGCAATTCATGTCAAGTTTAGATCAATTTAGATCATTTATTGTGTATTTTCAAGTAAATCAGGAATTTTCTTCTAATTTTGTTTTAGATTACATTCTGTAAACTGCAACAAATCACAACAAATCTTTTTTAAACCGATCATCTTTTCAATCAAATAATCACCTTTTAAATCGAGGATTAGGAGAATTAGGATCTTCTAATGACAGTTCTAAAAAAAGGTTATGATGTATCTCTTTATCTTTTTTTCTTGCTATTCATTTGTGAACCCATATTTTTCCTAGGTCCACTTAATTTGTATTCATACATAATTAAAAACAACAAAGATGCATATAACTTTTTTTTTATATATTATTTATAATAATTGTAATTTTGTACCATAATCGCCAAAGTGTGCACATTGAAGACCGAATTCGTAATGTGAACGAAAATCCGGATTGAATGATCCGCAATCTTAATCCGATCCGCAATGCGTAATGTGACTTTAGGTGCTTCTATATAATTCGCAAATGCAGACGCAAATTTGCGTTTGTTTTTTCATTTATGCATGGTTTTTGTCTGTGTGCCTTGCATGATCGTTCTGCGTTTGCAAATTTAATATTTTGCGATTTGCGAATTATATAGAAACATCTTCATCGGTCGAGATCCCTGTACATACGTAAGTTGATTAAGGCCTGTTATATACAATAGGATTGCAAGTCATAAGTCATAAGAAATTGATCAATCACAGTCTAATGTGAGAAAAATAATAGACTATGACTGGTTAATTTTTTTTTACGGTCCTATTATTTAACAGGCCTTAGATAACGATTATTAACTGGCATTGATTGTTGCAAAAGATAAAAATTATATATATTAGTATATATATATATACAGGATGTACCAGAGTTAGCGCAGGAGGATTCTTCATGAAAAAGTAAATCAAAAATGTTAATAGCAAAATCTTAAGGCATTAATAGTTTTCAAACGGTGAGCATTTAAAAATAACCAATCACAGGGCATGAAATTTGCGCCATCAGGAACGGCGCAACTAAGCGGTCGGTCGCATAAACACTTTGACGGATGTATCGCTCAACGGCACAGTATTGAAATATTATAAAGTTTCATGAAATTTCTATATTAACTCTACTGCCGTATTCTTAAATTAAGTCCGATTTAATTGATGAGAAGTAATGTCAATTGCAAATTCGATAAATAAATAAATTTATAAATAAAATCAATATTAATTAAATGATCCAAACAAATAACGTTAAAAACATCAATTGACAGATATTTGTAAAAAACTTCTTTTCTATCACAAATAACATTAGAAAAAAAATTTACATTTGAAATACGCATTTGATATAAATAAATATTTCATATTTAGAAAATGAAACGAACGAAATTCTGAATTATGATAGGAGAGAAAAGGAAAGTAATATAATAAAAAAATCAAAGTTAGCAAGTTAATAAGCTGTAAATATCTGTCAATTGATGTTTTTAACGTTATTTGTTTGGATCATTTAATTAATATTGATTTTATTTATAAATTTATTTATCGAATTGGCATTACTTCTCATCAATTAAATTGGACTCAATTTAAGAATACGGCAATAGTTAATATACACGAATTTTCGAAATTCGATTTCACGAAACTTTGTAATACTCATTCGATACCGTTGAGCGATACGTCCGTCAAAGCGTTCGTGCGGCCGACCGCTTAGTTGTGCCGCTCCTGACGGCATATTTCATGCCCTGTGATTGATTATTTTCAATTTATTTGCTCACCGTTTAAAAACTATTGATGCCTTAAGACTTTGCTATTAACATTTTCGATTTATTTTTTCATGAAGAATATGTACATGCCTGCCTCTGCGCTAACTCTGGTACACCCTATATGTATATATATATATATATACATATATATGTATATATATATATATATACCAGGTGTATAAGCTTAAATCCGCTGTTTGCTTATAAGTGGCATTAGTGAACGTACAAAGTTATCCTGGACACACTTTTTTTATGTGTTTGACATCTGTCAACGTTAACCAGTGCACATCATCAGCAATTTCATACAACATACATTTTTTCTTTCGTAATCATAGTTTTTTGCTAAAAAAAAAGCATATGCGGGAAGCTTTGCTTTTCTGTTTCAATTTGAAGAAATCGGCTGCCGAATCGCATCGAATGCTTGTGGAGGCCTATGGCGACAATGCTTTATCGGAAACAACATGCAGAGATTGGTTTCGCCGGTTCAATGACGACAATTTTGACCTGAGTGACAAGAAGCGTGAAAATTCGGCCCAGGAAGGTTAAGGACTGTCAATTGCAGGCTCTTTTGAACGAGGACGATACCCAATCGCAAAAAATGTTTGCCGAGCAATTGGGTGTTTCTCAAGCAGCCATTTCCATGCGGCTACATGCCATAGGGAAGGTTCAAAAGATTGGAAAATGGGTGCCGCATGAACTGAACGATAGGCTGATGGAGCGACGCCAAAACACATGCCAAATTTTGCTTGCCAGACAAAAAAGAAAGTCATTTCTGCATCGGATTGTGACAGGCGATGAAAAGTGGATCTATTTTCAGAATCCTAAACGCAAGAAATCTTGGATTGATCCCGCCCAATCATCAACATCTTTCTCAAGACCAAATCGCTTCGGACGGAAGATGCTGTGCGTTTGGTGGGATCAGGAGGGTGTCATCTACTATGAGCTGTTAAAACTTGGTGAAACTGTTAATGCTCACGGCTACCACCAACAACTGATTAAATTGCACTGTGTGAAAAAAGGCCGCATTATCGAAAAAGCCGCATTATCGAAAACATGACAAGCTGATTTTCTTCCACAACGCACCATCGCACACGTCAACAATGGTCCAAAATCACTTGGAGACACTCAACTGGGAAGTGCTACCCCATCCCGCTTACTCACCAGACCTGGCATCTTCTAACTATCACCTGTTTTCGTCGATGGGCCACGCGCTCATTGAGCGGCACTTCGATTCTTACGAAGACATCCGAAAATGGCTTGATGGTTTGCCTCGAAAGATGAGGAATTTTTTTGGCGTGGTATACACAATTGTCCGAAAGATAAGAAAAATGTATAGTTAGCAAGGGCAAATACTTTGAAAAAATTTGTTTTTGCTTCCTAGGAAAAAAAAAAATGTGTTTTTCTGACTAAAAAACAGCAGATTTAAGCTTATACACCTGGTATATATATATATATATATGTAT